TATGAAAAATTAAGACTTTTCTGGTCTGACATCTGCTGTCTTGACCAAGTTTGAGCTTTTAACTAGACTTAAAAATCAGAACTGCCATCAAGTCAGTTTATACACACAGAAACCCTGTAGGACAGAGTAGAACAGTCCATAGGATTTCCAAGACCTCAGTTACAGCAGCAGGCTGCCTCATCTTTTTCTTGTGGGGTGACTAGTGTTTGGCAGCCAGATCCCTTATATATAACAGGTGATACTCAGTTGGTGCTGAATCCTGGTGACCCCATGTGTAGAACTGTGCTCCTTAGAGTTTTCAATGGCTGAGGTTTTGGAAGTAGATGTTCCTTTCTTCTGAGGAACCTCTGGGTGGACTCAAACCTCTAAACTTTGGTGTGGTAGCTGGACCCATTAACCATCTGCACCACCCATAATCAGACTGATGCTTGGTGTAAGCAGTTAGAGGGTGCTCTAGTAATGTAGTCCAGCCCCTAACGTGAAGATGGTGCCTCTCTGGTGCTTCAAATCCACCAGTGTGGCTCCAGGGAGGCACGATGGGCATAAGGGTTAGCTGTGAGTCACCTCCCACTTGACAGCAAGAACTAGAAACACATTAGGAACCTAACTAGGTTGATGTTTAAACCACAGCTTAAGTCATGATTGAATTCATGTCTCATCAATGGGGACCTGGTGTTCCCTGTTGTTTTTCATGACCAGAAGGTGGCATTATTATCAGCTAGGAAAACCTCAGCATCTTTCCTTTCATCCAGCATCTTTAAATGTGTCATTATGGAAATGAACAGAAATGAACCCCACCTCCTGGGAGTGTTTACTTTGGGTAAGGCTCCTTCTCTGATATTCTTACTGAAGAAGCAGTTTTCCAGCTTTATTCATGCATTTGTTCACTCATTCAACAAATATGTACTTATGGTAAGCCCTACTTGTGCCCTAGTGGCACAGTGGTAAACACTTGGCTGTTAACCAAAAAGGTCAGCAGTTCAAGGCCACCAGGAGTGATCTGACAGTGTGTTGTAAAGAGAACTTCATGGGACAGTTTTGTTACATATAGTCACTATGTGCGTCAGAATCAAGTCAGTGGCACCCAATGACAGTGCCAAATGCCACACTATGTGCTGAAACACATCCGGGAACAACACAGACGCACCCGGTTCCTTCATTAAGCAGATTGTTTGGACTAAGCAGAGTAAAGCTAAACCCTTCCCTAAGCTATTTCGCCTCTTCTTTCCTCTATGTGTATTTCTAAAGAGCCTAAAGCCATGTGACTGTGGTGGCCCCCACGCCTGTGTACCCAGAAGATCCCGGAGACGTGGGTCTGGACACACTGCAGGGGGCATCCCTGTGATGACACACATCTGCTTCATGCCATGCAGACTCAGGCTCCTTCAGGGGCTCCAGATAACCCAGCGGAGAGCAAGCCCCACAGAGTCATTGTGTTCTCGTGCTTTATTTTGTTTTAGAAATCAGCCCGGCTCTTAACAACCTTGAGGAAACCCTGAAAATTGTGACTGTTCAGAAAGAGCAGATAGAAGCCAACCTCACTACTGTCCGGAAAGATCTTCGGGGGATACAGAGAGGTCAGCATCTTCCCCGCCCCTTGTCCTTGGCTCCTGTTGTTGAACGCTTTCAATATGGACACCTCCCTTTCTGTATGTTCAATAGATGACGTTGATGGTATAATCAGCAGAGCCAAGAGCATGGTCCAAAATGCCAATGACATCACGAGTGAGGTTCTGGATGGGCTCAGCCCCATTCAGACAGATGTGGACAGAATTAAGGATACCTATGGGAGCGCGCAGAGTGAAGACTTCACCAAGGCTCTGACTGATGCAGATAAGTCAGGTACTAGGCATTCTTGGGCTGGACTGTGCCATTCATTTATTTTCTCCTTTGTTGTGGGTTTTGTGTCCATCATAGTCAATCCCTCATAAATGCTGATCAGTGAAATGAAGGCAATAGAAATTAGCTTATATCATAAGTTCAGAATTAAGTTAGACCAGGTAGTTCCAGACTTGAAGGATTATGAAGGGCCGTGGTCCTGCCTCCTTCAGTCTCTCTCTAAGTAGAAAGCCTGATGTTTCATCTGATTTTGATTTTGCTGCTCATTTTTCTCTAACCCAATCCAGGGCCTTCTAATCCCTTGAGGGCAGTCTACAGTAGGAGTTGGGCACCATCTAGTTCTTCCAGTCATAAGGTTGTAAAGGTTAGGTTCATGTCTGTGATCCCGTTTTCAGAACTATTTCATTTTCCTCATGCTGGATGAAGAGAGACCAATTGTATCTTCATTGGCTTCTAAGATTTCAGTTACTAGTCATCAAAATAAGACACTGAACATCTTCTTTAGGGAAGACCTTGTGGCAGTTGATCTTAATGTCCCCCAAGACTATGGTTCTGAATTCCAGGGCCCTCTGGCTCAATTTTCAACCAATTGCCAGTCTACATGGCAAACAATAGCACCAAGGAGGCTTCTACTTATTGGAACAATCAATGTGTGAAGGGCAGCATTTACCCAGAAATAAAGTACAGGAGACAGGGAAGATTGAGGAATGGAAATGAACACACAAAGACGGAGTGGGCTTAGTACTGTTGCATTGTGGAGACAGTCATCATTGGTATGAAGCAAAATGTATATGAATTGTTAAGTGGAAAACTGATTAGATTTATAAACCTTTGCCACAATAAAAAAAGATTGGTTTGTAGTGGGGTTTTTGGTTTTGTTTTCTTTTAATTAGACCAGGAAGTATTTTTAAAAGCTACAGACAATGCTGTTGATTTCCCCCTTTGTAATCTGGTGCCATTGAGTCAATTCTAATTTCTGGTGGCCCATGTGAATCAGAGTATAATAGGCTTTCAGTGATTCCTTCTTTAAAATAAATCACCAATGCTTCTGGACAGCCTTGAATCTCCAAAGTTTAGTTAGCAGCTGAGTATGTTAATGTTTACACTCCCCAAGGACTCCTTCCACCTTGCAGAGGGGAAGTATAGGTCCCTACAAACAACACTTTGTATTATGATACAGAAGATCAGCAACAAAAGGGTTTTTTTTTAGTTTGCTGATGTTGGTTAAGAAAGAATATACTGCTGACACTTGGAAAGGAAGTTACCTGATTCTGATCTACCCTGGCCAACTACTGGGGCTCAAATATATCACTTGACAACTATTGGTAAGAACAGTTCTACTTAAACATGTTTACCAACTCACAATGATAAATTTCCAATTTCTTATCTCACCAACAGTGACAAAATTAACCAACAGACTGCCTGATCTTTTCAGCAAGATTGAAAGCATCAACCAACAGCTGTTGCCACTGGGTAACATCTCTGACAATATGGACCGCATCCGAGAACTGATTCAGCAGGCCAGAGATGCTGCAAACAAGGTGAGCTGGTCCAAACCTGGCAGCCGTCAAGGCAGGTTTTCACCCATTGAGAAAGAGAGGTGTTTGACTCAAAAATCAGCTCTTTCTTGCCTTCATTGATAGTCCTCTTATCCTGCAGAAGTGCACATCCTTTTCCTTTTCTTTTATGGATTACTGGATTTCTTTTTAGATAGATCTTTCCTTTTTTAAGATATTATAATTTTTAAAAAATATTTCCTTTCTTTGATCTTTGAATCTTTCAATAATTTCATTAGACTTTCATTGTCAAACAGTATCCACTTCCATGTATAATAACGATAACAAATCAAGTACACTGTGGATTTTTAATATTTTTTTAGGAGTGAAAAAACAGAGCATTCTGTTGTATAGTGTGTGAGCATTAAGGTTAGGAATATGCATAAAGCACTTTTAACTTTGGGTGATAGCTATGCATTGTATTTTTCCCTTAGGAACCATAAATGGTTACAAGAGTAAAATTTGTATTCCCTTAATCTGTAAACTTATTTCTCATGTAAAAATTCTTACAAGTTCATGGGAGGGTTTTATGAGCAGAATATGCTCGTATGAAATTTCATAAGAGCTACATTTTTATTGCAACTTGAAGATTGCAGAACCTGCCTTTATAGGGACTGGAGAAACAGATCCTACCAGCGTGGGCAATGTTCTGAATGCAGGAGTAATGCAATTTTCCATCACTGAGACACTGACTCATCACCCTTCCTAATTTTAACCAGGCATCATTTACTTGAATTGCTAACAATCGTATTTTACAACTTATTTTGTGTTAAAATAATGTAATTGAATGTTCCTATTTTTTTTTGAGATTCTAAAGAAAGTTTATAGAGAACTTGAATTTCCATTAATTCATTGTTGCACATTTTCCTCCCTGCCCCCCCCCCAGTTTGCTTTTCTCTTTAGAAAAGAAATTCTTTCTTTGTTGTACAATCCCCTGTCCAGTCCACTTTACTATGCAGCTCTTATTCTGGACTGTTGTCATACAGATAATACCTAATTGTATATTCCTTTTATGCAGTTCTTTCCCATATCTGTTTCAGTACAGTGTACATTATGTATCCCCTCTTTTCTTAGTTTCTCCCAACCCCCATGCCAGTTCTGTTTTATAAACAGTGTTAAAAGAATGTAATTGAATGTTCCTACATTTTTTGATGGTTCTGATCCAGCTTTCTATGAGGTGTTTGGAGGTAGAGCACTGGAGAGCACAACCAGCTGTCTCATTTTTGAAGTCTAGGATCAGTATTCCTTTTTGGGGGCTTCTGAATCTTCCATTAAATGTTTAATAGTAAGACAAAGAGCCTAAGTCATGATTATGGAGAAACTTCCTGTTTCAGACCTATGTTGTTGTTGCTGTTAGGTGTTGTCAAGTCAGTTCCTACTCATAGTGACCTCATGTATAAGAGAGTGAAACACTGCCGGGTCCTGCACTATTTGCACAGTCATTCTGCATTTGATCCCATTGTTGCTCGACAGTGAGGAGGAAAATAGGAAAGTTGAGGGTAACCGTTAAAGAGCTTGTAAATTGGCTCAACATTCAAGCATGTCATTAAGAGACTTGTATTCCATATACCTTTTAAACTTTCTTGTAATTTAATTTTCGTTATAGTTTACAAAGTTTTCATCCATGATGGATTGGAAGATAGATGGACCTTCATTAAACAGTTGTTGCTGGTGTTGTAGTTATGTGCAGTCGAGTTATCTGCAACTCATAGCAACCCTATGTACAACAGCCCTAAACTCTGCTCTATCTTGTGCTAATTTTATTGTCTCCAACACACCTATGCCCCTTCCACCAGTCACTGAATCAATCCATCTCATCAATCGTCTTCTCTCCTGCGCTGTCCCTCCACATGATGTGCCTCTCCAGGGACTGGTCCCTCTTTACAACATGTCCAAAGTATGTCAGATGAAGCTTCAGAATCCTTGCCTTTGACATCTCAGTCAAGACCTCCAGATACTTCATCACATCTGTAAGCACTACAGACAGTGGAGACACTGCAGACAGTGCAAGGCAGGCCTTTCCACACTCAGTGACCCCGTGCAACTGGAAGCTTATGCTGGCTGGCTAGTACTCCAGGCCATTAACTCAGAGTTCCAGGAAGGGGAGAGGATTGTGCTGAGGTGCCACACCTGGAAAAATAAACCTGTGCATAAAGTCACATATCTCCAAGATGGCAGGAGCAAGAAGTTCTCTCATCAGAATACCATCTTCCACATTCCAAAGGCAACATACAATCACAGTGGCTCTTACTACTGCAGGAACCTTATTGGGAGTAAAATATTTCTTCAGTATCTCTAAACAGCACTGCTAAAGGTGTTGCAATTCCATCCATCTCACTATTCTTTTCTTCTTGGCCTCAAATCACTTTCTGTCTATTGATAGCTCTGCTCTTTGCAGTGGACATGGACCTGTATCTCTGTGTGCAGAAGCTCAGTCCGAGACTGATGGAACCACAAATGGAAATGGAGCTAGAGCCCTCAGACAAGTGACTTTTCCTCTTACAGAGTAATTATCAGCAGTGGGAACAGTGTCTCTCGATATATTCACGACCTAATCAGCCGTAACAATGGTCATATCTGAACGCAGCAGGAGAAATACATGTCACAGCCAAGTCTGAGAGCCCTTCACCCAGTACTCTATTTCATCCTGGTATCCAATGAAAGAAAGTGCCTGTGGCCTTTAAATGCAAACAGTGGAGCTCCAGTGAGTAGCTGCTTTTCCAGGAATTGAATTGTCAGACACTTTCTCTGTTTCAAGCATCATTTTATAGCAAAGCAACAACATGAGCTCCTGATGGTGAATGTTTATGCATGTAAATATTTTTCCAAAAATAAATGAATAAGTAAAGTCATCACTAAAGAAAGAAAAAGAATCCTTGCCTCCATGGAGCAGCCCGGTCTCACCCTCTCTAGGACAAACCTGTTTGTTCTCTTAGCAGTCCATTTAACAGTTAGAGAAACATAATTTTAGTGAATCTGGATATGCTCATTTTCTAGGACAGAATGCTTGCAATAAATGCAACAGTAATATGTAGCATATTAATTGAAAACCGTTCCTTGAGAAGCTTATTGTAGAAAACTGTATTTTCTCTTTTAAATATCTACTATAATACTTTAGCCATACTTCTAGGAGGTGCTGTTCATTGGAGAGGAACATGATGCTGGGAAGGGTGGCAGGTCAGCAAAGGAAGGAAAGACCCTCAACTAGGTGACATGGTGACTGCTGCAATGGGCTCTTGGGTGTCAGGAGTGTGAGGATGGCGCAGGACAGGACTAGGTTCAGATCTTTTGTTCATAGGGTTGCTATGAAACATACCCAACTAGATGGCACCTAACAATAACAGCATAAACTAAAGGAGCTCTGATGGCCTAGAGGCAAGAAACTTCACTGCAATTCTAAAGGCATGCAGTTCAAATCCACCAGCTTCTCTGCAGGAGAAAGATGGGCAGTCTCCTCCTGTGTGACTAATTGCGTCTGAAAACCCACCAGAGGGTCACTATGGGTCAGTTCCAACTCTACGGTACACAACAACAACAACAACTATCAGCTAGACAACTTACTAATTCTTAGCAAGTGTTCATGTATATTAGCCCATCTATACAATCACATTCTGGAATTGCATTATTATCAGTGACTCAGAGAAACAAGGGGCATTCTAAAGACCAGCCCTCTCTTCATCTAATCAGCAGGAAGAAACTGAATGCTTTATTCCCCAACTCCTGACCTGAAGCGGCTTCTCACACTCTCTTGCCTAACCCTAACCCTAACTGAGTATATCTATTGTATATCTGGTGGCTTAGTGGTAAAGAATTGCATTGCCAATACAAAAATGTGTAGTTCAAATCTACCAGTTGTTCTAAGGGAGAAAGATGGACACTACCCTCCCATGTGATTTACTGCCTCTGAAAACCCACTGGGGAGGGTCAGCTATGGGTCAGTTCCAACCCGACGGCACACAACTTACGTGATTAGGTTGTTGATGTTGTCGAGTTGGAACCAACTCATAACCAGTCCTCTAGCAGGTGGATTCGAACTGTGTGCCTTTCAGTAGCTAAAAGTCATGCATTACCTCTCTGGGAACCCTCACTTTCTCTACCAGACTATTTAACACTATTTGTCTTAATCTTTAGGTTTCTATTCCCATGAGGTTCAATGGTAAATCAGGAGTTGAAGTCCGACTTCCAAATGACCTAGAAGATTTGAGAGGATACACGTCTCTGTCTATGTTTCTCCAAAGACCTGCCTCACAACAAAATGAGGGGACTGAGAATATGTTTGTGATGTACCTCGGGAATAAAGATGTAAGCATTCCTTTAACATTTCACTTGCTTTCAAGGCAGAACGTGTGCTTTGAGATGTGTGCTTTCTTTTCCTCTTCTCCTTTCTCTCCTTCATTGAACAAGTGTTTTCCTACCACTGGCACATACGAGAAATGTCACCAAGTCATGGGTGCACCCCACAACCTCTGACTCCCTCTCTCAGGTGATGGTTCCTCCAGGCACATCTCGTGTATTAAGGTGTGTTACCTGCTGGTGTTACTAGAAGCCTTATTCAGTGAGCTCATTCTGATGGCATATAGCCACACACGAATATACACATGATCACTGACGTGCTCAGGTTTAGCGTGTGGCACTGTCTCCTTATACAACCATGGCATCAAGCAGACTTCGCAGATCGACAGTACCTGCTCCTCACAAAGGTGTGACACAGTCCTCTTGCTCAGAGCATCCCCCAAAACTGGCTTCAGAGCCTCGGGTGGCACAGTGTGTCTCTGTGGATGAGAAGCAAGGGAAACAAAATATCCCCTGCCCAATTGGTAAGAAATGTAATTGTCTTATCCCTTTATAATTCCAAATTCATGATATCACTATTGTCACTCGCTTTCTGAAAGGTTGGTTTTAGCTTTTAAAATCACTTTCTTTGAGTTACGTTTCCAAAGAAGGTATAATCACTGAAGTGTTTATTAGATAATGTATGAACTCTAATATTTCTTCTTAAATAATTCTAAAGATTCTGCCTCATTAGGAAATTGTTAACTTCCATTAGTGAGCACTGTATTTTAATACTTAAAAGTCACACTATTGTTAGTATTTTTCATTTCAAAGCATTGGTTCTTTATTTGCAGCTGTCAAGTGCCTTGACATTTGCCTTGTAATATATCAAAAGACACTAACTTTATTGTCTGAACACATTTATATCATGTGCCACATGCTGCCTTTATGATAAATCAGCAATTAACTATTCAAAGTCTAAGAAGAAAGAAAGGTGTATAAGTAGCTGGCCATAATAATATAGGGTGCTGCGTGCTATAACAGACAATTACAAATTATTGAAGGAATATTTCATGGACCAGGATAATGCTTTAGTGTGTGCATTAGTGTGCTGGTTAGTATAAATACACTATTGTACTGTAGTGTTGCTAGTACTAGCACAGTGAAGGCATAGCTCCCTTAGAAGACTAAGATGTAATGGAGGGCTGGGTGGATACCTAGCTCATTTTTGTGGAAAGGGTTTTATAAATGTTTGTAGCATGAACCAAGAGGGAAAAAATAATTGAGTTCACCAAAACATGAGCAAAGCACGGCTCAAACAAACAGATAAAACATTGCTGTCAAGTTGATTCTAAATTAATAGCAACTCAATAGGGCATAATTCCTTAAAGGGTTTCCAAGGCGGTAACTATTCATGGAGGAAGACTCTAATATTTTTTCTATGGAGCAGCTGATGAGTTCAAACTGCTCACCTTTGTGTTAACAGACAAGAGCTTAACTACTAAGCCACCAGACTTGTAAGAGATGAGTATTTTAGAATTACATATCAGATTCATCCTGGAAAGGGTTAAACCAGGTAGCTCCTTGGAGGCAAGGATTCTGAGGCTCCATCTAATATACTTTGGACATGTTGTAAGGAGAGACCGGTCCTTGGAGAAGGACATCTTACTTGGGAGGGTGGAGGGACAGTGCAGGAGAGGAAGGCCCTCTATGAGGTGGATTGATTCAGTGACTGGGGTAATCGGGATGGGTGTGTCAGAGACAGTGCAATTGGCACAGGACAGAGCAGAGTTTAGGGCTGTTGTACATAGGGTCTCTATGAGTTGCAAGCGACTCGATGGCACATAACAACAACGACAACAACTATAAAAGACTGCACATTAATTCTGTCTGTATATTAATTTTGTTGTATAAAACTTACAAGCAATTTGGAATGCATTGTCTTGGGATGGGAAACTGAGGGAACACAGTATGTGAAATGCTCTGGGATGGCTTTCCTGTCCCCAGACCTCCAAGGACTACATCGGCATGGCTGTCATCAATGGCCAGCTCACATGTGTCTATAACTTGGGAGAGGATGAGGCTGAGCTCCAAGTCGACCAGACCTTGACGGAGAGTGAGAATCAGGAGGCAACGATGGACCGGGTGAAATTTCAGAGGTACAAGTCTGACCCAAAACTCACCAAATGCTTCCATGTCTACAAGTTGCTGGGTCCCCTTGTTCCTATTTGTCTTTGATTTCCTTAAATGCCTGTACATTTTTTTTTTTGCATACCACTTTATTCTATGATTTTTTTTTCATTGTAAACAGAATTTACCAGTTTGCAAGACTTAATTATACCAAAAAGGCTACAGCCCATAAACCAGAAGCACCCCAATACCGTGACATGGATAGTGGGAGTAGCAACACGCTTCTCAACTTGGACCCTGAAAATGTTGTGTTTTATGTTGGTGGTTACCCACCCAATTTTAGAGTAAGTGGCAATGTTACTTATTGAATGGAAATGTTAATATCTTGGTAGAATGAACTCAGGGAGCTCTGGTAGCCTACTGGCAAGACACTGTGCTGTAATCCTGAATGCACATGATTCGAGGCCACCAGTAGCTCCACAGGAGAAGGGTGGGCAATCTCCTTCCTACCTGTGAAAATCCACTGAAGGGTCAGCTATGGATCGGTTCCGATTATACAGTACACAACAGTAACAACAACAACCACATAAGGAACTCATATCTCTATATTAATGATTGTTGTTGTTGTTGTTATGTGCCATCAAGTCATCTGCAACTCATAGCGACCCTATGTACAACAGCTCTAAACCCTGCTCTACCCTTTGCCAATCTTACTGTCTCTGACACACCCATCCCCATTACCCCAGTGACTGAATCAATACATCTCATAAAGGATCTTCCTCTCCTGTGCTGTCCCTCTACCCTCCCAAGCATGACGTCCCTCTCCAAGGTATGTCAGACAAAGGTATGCCAGACGAAGCTTCAGAATCCTTGACTCCAAGGAACCACCTGGCTTCACCGTCTCCAAGGTGAATTTGCTTGTTCTCCTAGAAGTCCGTGGTATATTCAGTACTCTTCTCCAGCACCAAAACTCAAAGGCATCAACTCTCCTTCTATCATCCCTAGTCATTGTCCAGCTCTCTGTTGCATAACAAGTATTTGCAAAGACAATAGCCTATATCAGGTGCACCTTAGTCTCCAGACTGACATCATTGCTCTTCAGTTCTTTGGAGAGGTCTCTGACAGCAGACTTTCCCAATGCAATTCGTCTTTTCATTTTCTGGATGCTGGTACTAAGAGTGTTGTTTGGAAAAAAAAAAAGAGTGTTGTTTGGAGAGCCAAGCAAACTGAAACTGTCAACAATCTCAATTTTAATAATTAGTTGTGTAAAATAGTTTTGACTCTCTGACCTTAAATTATATCCAATTAGTGATCTCTCAAATTCAAGCTCATTGCTGCCCAGACAGAACTGATTGACCCTCCAGTGCATTTTTAGAGGTTGTAAATTTTATGGGAGGAGCCACTGATGGAGTTAATAGTGCTAACCTTTGGTTTAGCAGAACAACTCCCTACTGACTATGCCACCGAAGCTCCCTAATAAGCCACCACAGCTATAATAGTAGTAGTAGTAGTAATAACTCATAATAGTTGAGTTGGAATTAATAGATGACCCTCCAGCAGATTTCAAAGTCTATGAAGCAGCAGATCACCCATGTTTCCTCTGTGGAGCCACTGGTGGATTTGAACCTCTAGAGAGGCTCAGCCTTTGGGTCAGCTGTGCAGCTCTCTAAAGACTACGTCACCAGAGCTCTCCATCATAGTAATAATAGCTAACTCATATTAACTGCTTCCTATGAGGCCCACACTGTTTTAAGCTTAAGAATATAAATTTAAATAAGTGCCATTATCATTTCCATTTTAAAGATGAAGACACTGAAACAGAGTTGTTAATAACTTACCCAAGGTCACACAGCTAGGGGGTCTTCTCCACAGTCTACAATTCTTAGCACCTAGGCTATAGGTGACTGTTTAAAAAAAAAATCAATAGATTTATATACTATTTTTCAGCATGATCATTTTGTTAATGTTGTTTTTCAGCTTCCCAGGAGATTAAATTTCCCTCCTTACAAAGGTTGCATTGAGTTGGATGATCTCAATGAAAATGTTATGAGCTTGTACAACTTCAAAAAATCCTTCAATCTTAACACAACTGAAGTGGAACCTTGTAGAAGGTAAATAAAGCCCATGGTTAGGTAACTTGCAGTATTTTGACATACAACCAAGGAATGGTAGTCGAAGTGCTGCTGATGTTGGTTGCTTTGCAAAGTAGTTATTAAACTTTGCATGCAATACTCTCCAGCCACCCCAAGAACCTACAATATCGGTCTTTCTCTAGTTTATTAATATGAAATTTATTAATAGAATTTTATCAAGTTTTCTAAAAGGAAACACTCTTCAAATTTTTTTATGTCTTCTAATACAAAATAATCAATGTTAAATGGTACCTGGTTTATATGCAGAATTATTTCTTTATTATCAATTTGAGTAAACAAATGGTCAACAAAGTACACCAGGACTTAGTAAGTATTTTGCCACATGGACATCTTTGAAAATTACTTTCGCTCCTGACCTCTCTTAAAATGAAGAGAACTCGGAATTTCTAAGATGAGAATGACTGAGTATTCATTAACTTTATCTCACGTTAGTCATTTCATACATTTCAAGATTGTCAACTTCTAAGGCACATCTTTCAGAGTGTCTGTTTCTAAAATGTATGCTAGTAGATTTTTTTTTTTAGCTAGAGCATGATTATGATATACTATAAGATCACATCAAAAGATGTAACTGGATGATTTAATATTTAAAATGTTCTCCATCTTCTTTAAGAAAATTGTGATAACTTGACTTCCTAAGATTCTGGATTTTTCTGAGACCTGCATTTTGGAGTAATAAGCACACTTCTGCGGTGGGCCTTTGCTACTGTGTTCTAACTGGTGATGGTTGATATTCACAGGAGAAAAGAAGAGTCAGACAAAAATTTCTTTGAAGGTACAGGGTATGCTCGAATTCCAACTCAACCGAATGCGCCCTTCCCAATCTTTACCCAGACCATTCAGACGACTGTGGACAGAGGTTTGCTGTTCTTTGCTCACAACCAGGTAATGCATAATCAGCAACCACAGCTACCAGATAGGTACATTCATTTTAACATTGGTGGAGTGGCCCCGTTATAATCAACCAGCTGGACCTGAAAATCAGTATACAAATATATCAGCATCATTTCCTTTGGCCCAATTTCATCCATTTTTACTGGAGGTGAGTGTATGTAATTAAGCAAATAATCAGTAATCCAAAAATAGCGCAGAAACATCTTCTTTTCTATTTTATTTCATTGTCCATTTTATTCTTGGAAAACTACTGGTTGCCTGATATTCTACTTATATACCTCATGGTATTTCTAAGGGCTAGAGACTATGACTTCTTGCTTTCTGGTTTAATCTCCCCCTTGGTCTCCCTCTCGCCTGGTTCTGTTGAATTACATCTTTGTCAAGCCGACTATGCTGATTCTTGGATTTTCATGACAGTCAAACTTCTTTTCTTTCAAGCAGCTGAGGTCCTTTGAAGCCATTCTCACCCCCCCCCAATAAATTGTGTGTGTGTGTGTGTGTGTGTGTGTGTGTGTGTGTGTGTGTGTACCGTCAAATCAGATCTGACTGGTACAGGAGGAGATTGCCCCTCCTTCCCCGGCAGAGCATCTGGTGGATTTGAACAGTGCGCCTCTGGGATTGTAGTTGCAGTTTCTTGCCACTAGGCCACCAGAGCTCCCCTCAATAAATTTTTTAAATTGTATCTTATTAATTTTAATGAATATTTACAAAGATTTTGGATCTCCATTCATTATTATATTTTTCTCCCTGCTCTCCCCCTCCCCCACCCCGCCCCAATTAGCGCTTCTCTTTGGAAAGTAAAATTCCTTCATTGGTATACAATCCCCCAGCCCCGAGTACACTCCACTCTGCAGCCTTCGTTCTGGACTCTTGTAATAACCATAATACACAATCATGTATCTCTTTTAAAACTGTTCTCTCCCTCATCTGTTTCAATGAAGCCATTCTTGAGCCGCTGTCAGCAAAGTCCATAGTAATCTTCAGCGCCATCTACTGGTGGGTGCAGGGCTGGCTTGATATTGGCTAAGTCCTTTATAGCTGCAAGGGGTTGAGTTGAAGTCTCCTTTGAAGAGCATGTCTGTTCCCAAGAGGTAGTTATTATGAAAGAATCCATAAATCCCTTGAGATCTCTGGTCTGAGAATGCAAGATTGATATGAATCTTAGATTTTATCAGATTTTTTCTATCTGTGGGAACACAAACTTGATCCTATTCTCTTCCTCAATCAAGAGATTGGTCTGGATCCTTCAGGAAATCCCAAGATCTACCCAGTTCTGATGGGTTTGGGAAGGTCCTGACATGCATGAAGAATTCAGAGTGTGAGAATTTGTACCCTCAGGACAATACAGTTGATTAGACAATTCTTTTCCAAAATAAAGTTGTCTCTTTGTAAAGGCTGAAGTTTTCTACACTAGGAACCAGAAATATTTATATTAGAAGAAAGTCTCCCTAATCATTAGCAGCCAGATGAGAAAACCTTACCTATAGTGCTCCTGTTAATTAGATGGCTCAGTTAACCTCAATGAGTTGATGTTATTCTGTTACTGAAGAATGGGATTAACCTGAACTCAAAGACAGAATTTAGGATTTAAATAAGGACAGACTTTCCTTTGATGTAAAGACTCTCACCCCAGCCTCCAAAGAGAGTGTCTTGGTTTTCTAGTGCCAAGGACTGCCAAGAAAACAAATAGGTCTGTCTTAGAGAGGATGAAACCAAGTTTCTCCCCTGAGACTAGGATTTTGAAGCTCTATCTCATATACTTTGGGCATATGGCCAGGAGAAGCCAGTCCTTGGAGAAGGACATCATGCTTGGAAGGGTGGAGGGACAGCGCAGGAGAGGAAGACTCTGAATGAGATGGATTGATACAGTAACTGGGCTAATGGGGGTAGGTGTGTCAGAGTCAGTGAGACTGGCTCAGGACAGGCTTCAGAGCTGCTGTGCATAGGGTTGCAGGTGGCTCAATCGCACACACAACAACAACAACATCAGTAACTCACACACAAGGGAGCTCTGGTGGGCTAGTGGCCACCAAAGGCATGTGGTTCAGATCCACCAGCTATTCCTCAGGAGAACAATGGGCAGTCTCTTCCTCTTACAATTCACTGTGCAACAGCTATGCACTGGATCCAACTCAACAAGAATAAGTGAGCACTTGAGTTAAGTCAGATACAGACCATGTGCACCACCGAGGGACCTGACCCCTAGAATAAGTGAGGCAAAATGGAAAGACACTTTAATTCTACAAGTGCCAAGATTTAATTGGATGAGAGTAATGGAAAGATCAAGAACGACTTCTATGTTTGTGTCTTGTGCAGCTGGGTGATTAGAGGAGAGGAGAGGGATAAGAGGTATGGAGATCCTAAGTTCCGTTTGGAACATTCTGAATTTAATGTGTCTGCGCACAATGCGCGTGATAACATTATTGGACATGCAGACCTGGCTGTAGGAAGACAATCTGACAATGAATGAATATAGTTGGGTTTCACCAGTGAAACCAATCACAGTAGGATCAACTCCACCTCTTGGAGACTTAGTGTGTATCAGAGTAGAACTGTATTCCAGATGGTTTCCAATGGCTGGTATTTTGGAAGTAGATGGTTACTGTTGCTAAGTGGGGCAATGTATACAGATTGAAGCCTTGCTCGATCCTGGACCATCCTCTCAGTCTCTATAGATCTAGATCTTTATTCTGAGGCACTTTATACTAGATCTATATTAGGAGGTATTTTCTGCATGAACTCAGCCCTTCATCCAAGTGTGGTAACCATCTGCACTGCTCACACTCCTGGCTTCACCAGAACATCAGAATTGGAGCCACTGGAGTGACTGAACTTTCCAAGGCCACGAGAGGGAGTGAGGGGATATTGTTCTGTGAGCAATCTCTTTTTGGTTTCCATTTCCTCAGACATTGTTTGTTTGTTTCCTCAGACTTACTACTGATGGTATTAAATAGAATAATGATAATAGCTGGTCTTTATTATGTACTTCCTATGTGCCGAATACAAACCACCATGCTTAAAACATCCTACTACTAAACCATCATAAGGAAGTTTTGGTGGCTTAGTGGTAAGAATTATGCTGACAATGTCAAGTATGGTTCAAATCCACCAGCTGCTCAGTGGGAAGAAGGTGGGCAATCTCCTGTGTGATTTACTGCCTCTGAAAATTGGCTTGAGAGTCAATTCTGGGTCAATTCTGACTCAACGGTGCTCAATAACAACAAACCATCATAACTATCTCAAGAAGTAGATTATCTGTCATTATCTAGGGAGCTTTGGTGGACTAGTGGCAGGAAGCTGCACTGCAATTCTGAAGGCATGAGGTTCGAGGCCACCAACTGCTCCACAAAGAATGGGCAGTCTACTCCCATGCACTTGACTGTCTTTGGAGACCCACCAGTGGGTCAGCTATGCGTTGGTTCTGACTCTGCAGTACAACAACAACTGTCATTATCTGGTTTAACCAGTGAGGCAGATGAAACTGAGAGCTGTTTGAACATGAGATTAACTTGAGAGACAGAGGGGTTTTGTTGTTGTTGTTTTTAGTGGTGTGTTCTAATCACCTGCATTGTCTCCTTCCTCTAGGATAACTTTGTATCTCTAAGCATAGAAGATGGCAAGCTTATGCTGAGATACAAAATGGATTCAGAGCCACCAAAAGAAAGTAGAGGTAGAAACATTATAAGTGATGGGAAAGATTATAAGGTAAATACTTTTCTCTATATTTTTGAATTGGAAAGGGCCACATCCTTTTAAAATTTGAAAAGGTAGGCATAGATTATATAATATCTATTTGGTATGTTTGATGTCATTTTCCAAAGGATAGCCTCTCATTGCAACATGCCCAATGTATGTGAGACAATAGTGGAGGGATGGCAAAAGACTCTTAACAAGATGGATTGGCACGGTGACTGCAACAGTGGGCTCAGGTATGTCAGCAATTTTGAGAATGGAACCTCTTCAACCTATATGTGGAACAGATCATCTGGGAGACTGGGCTTCATGAGGAGGAATGTGGCATCAGGATTGGAGGTAGACTCATCAACAATCTGCATTATGCAGATGACACAACCCTGCTTGCAGAAACTGAGGAGGACCTGAAGCGCTTGATGCAGCCTTCAATATGAATTGAAGCTCAACACCAAGAAAACAAAGATTCTCACCACCAGGCCAATTAGCAGCATCAGGATGGATGGTGAAGAGTTTGAGATTGTTCACAGCTTTACAATCAACACTCCTGGTGCCAGCAACCAGGAAATTAAAGATGAATTCTGCTGGGAAAGTCTGTTCTCATGGACATCTTCAGAGTACTGAAGAGCAATGATGTCAGTCTGGAGACTAAGGTGCACCTGATCCAGGGCATAGTCTTTGCAATTACTTGCTATGCATCAGAAAGCTGGACAATTACTAGGGATGATAGAAGGAGAAGTAATGTCTCTGAGCTGTGGTGCTAGAGAAGAGTATTGAATATACCGTGAGCTGTTCAGAGTACACAATGAGCAGGTTTGGCCTGGAGAGGGTTAAACCAGGCTGCTTCTTGGAGGCAGGATTCTGAAGCTCTGTCTGACATACTGTGGGCATGTTGCAAAGAACTGTCCTTGGAGAGGGACATTATGCTTGGGAGGGTGAAGGGACAGCACAGGAGGGGAAGACCCTCAATGATATGGATTGACTCAGTGAATGGAGTAATGGGGGTGGGTATGTCAGAGACAATAAAGTTGGCTCAGAATAGAGCAGGGTTCAGAGCTGTTGTAAATAGGGTTGCTATGAGTCACAGGTGACTAGACGGCACACAACGGCACTAATATGTGATAAGACAAGATTCAGGTCTGTTGTTCATAGGGTCACTCCGAGTCATATTCGACTCAGTGGCACCTAACAACATATGACATGTATAAATAGAATTGGTTTCAAAAGCAGACATTCCTATTAAAATTATAACATTGCATTTTCATCCAAAAGTGCTACTGTTCAGATTCTCTCTTATATGTATATCAATTTATCTGAAAGAAAACAAACAAATAAAAACATAATAGATCCAACCTACTGTTAGAAGGATGTTTTCTCTCCCATTGCTTGAGGATTCAAATCTCGTTTATTTCAGGTTCGGATCCACTTTGCCAAGCCCCGAAAAGTTGTGTTCGTAAATGTGAATTCTGAAAGAGTTCAAATTAACAGTGAAATATTTGATTTCGACATATACTACCTGGGTGGAATTCCAATTTCACTCAGGGAAAGGTAAGACTATATGATTAAAATGAGAAAAGCCAGATTACTCTCTGAAAGCTGTGATTATTCCTGGTATGTCTAGTCTACTTTTTTTTATACCTTTTTTTTAATTAAAAAAAGGGGGGAAGGCCAAGTAAGGGTACAGTTACTAGTGTTACCTACAGAGTAAAACAGACTGTAAATATTAGATAGTAGGATTGGCCACTTGGAAGGGGTGAACTGTTACTCTTGAGAGAGAGAAGCCACAAGGAATAAAAAGAGCATTGAGAATGTTTTGAGGAAAGTGGAGGCTCTTCCCTGAGGGTCTGAAGGAAAGACTGGGAGATTGCAGGCAGCTCTGCAACCCGGTAAGAGATGAATGCTTGCGAGTTTTAATCCACCAACTGCTCCATGGAAGAAAGATGGACAGTCTCCTTCCTTAAAGATGTAAAGCCTTGGAAACTTAATGGAGGGTTGTAGTGCAACCAGTTGGACAGCAGTGGGGTCATCTCTGCCACAGAGATGCTGGTGGGTTCACACTGTTGACCTTATTGTTAGCAGCTGAGAGTGTTTTAGCCACTGCACCCCCAGGTTATTCTTTCTATAATACGTATGTATATTCATATGTGTTGTATAGTAGTTATTATATGTTATTGTTGTTGATGATTGCCTTCAAGCATGACTCATAGAGACCCTATGAACAAAAAGCCTGAAGCCTTTCTAGAACTATTGACTTTTATCTAAGTTCATAGAGTTTCTAGAGGCATGCTGTTTAGGAAGTGGATGCCACTCAGGCATATATATTTTCTTACATACACACACACACACACACACACACACACATACACACACACCCCCTACATACATATTGAACATCTCAAATAATCTGTTTTGGAACCTTCCAAGCAGAAGAGTGTCACTTTTACAAAGCCTACTTTGATATTTAAATGACAGAAACATGGAAATGCAGGAAAAGAGGCCAAAAGACTTCCAGTTGCTTTATCCCTAACAATTAAAATGGGAAACTGGTCCTGCTTCAGCTGTCTCTGCCTCATCTTTCTCTAGTAAATTCTTGATGGTAACGACTGGCTTTCCTAAATGAGTTGTAACACAGTACTTGACACATGCAAAGTGTCCAGTGAGTGGTGTAGAAAATATCTCCTGTAAACAAATGTGATTATGACAGTAGTATAATGGATATCTGGTGTCTAAACCCACCTTTGGTAAAATATACGCTCCATATATGTTAGCCTCTGGTCATCCCACTCTTCCTGGCCACCTTCCTCTTCCTTAATGACTCTAATAGGAAAGGAATATCATCCGGGGATGTTGATTCAGGTCCAACACATCTTGATATATAAGAGAGAATGAGGCTCCCTATGTGTGTTGTTGTTGTTGCCATTGAGTCGGAACCAACCCATAGCTTTCCCTTTGGTGGGTTTTCAGAGGCAGTTAATCACATGAGAGGAGATTGCCCATCCTTCTCTTGTGGAGCAGCTGGTGGATTTGAAACGTGTGCTTTGGGATTGCAGCACAGCGTCTTGCTAGTAGACCGCCAGTGCTCCGGATATATATTATATTACATATGATAGATAGATAGATAGATAGATAGATAGATAGATAGATAGATAGATAGATAGATAGATAGATACAAATATATATACAAATATATATGCATATACATTATGATAGCTGGTGAAGAGACTGAGTTTTTAACAGTTTTAGTTTGCTTGACTCCACAATCAGCACTCTTGGTACCAGCAGCCAGGAAATCAAAAGATTAATTGCACTGAGAAAGTCAGCTGTCAGGGACCTCTCCAGAGTACTGAAAAGCAATGACGTCAGTCTAGAGACTAAGGTGTGCCTGATCTAGGCCATAGTTTTTACAGTGGCTTGCTGGACAATGACTAGGGATGACAGAAAGAGAATTGATGCCTTTGAGGGGTGGGGCTAGAGAAGAGTATTGAATATACCACGGACTGCCAGGAGAACAAACAGGTTCGTCTTAGAGAGGGTGAAACCAGGTTGCTCCTTGGAGGCAAGGATTCTGAAGCTCTGTCTGACATATTTTGGGCATGTTTCAAGGAGAGTCCAGTCCTTGGAGAAGGATATCATGCTTGGGAGAGGGGGGGACAATGTAAGAGAGGAAGACCCTCGATAAGACGTATTTATTCAGTGACTGGGATAATGGAGATAGGTGTGTCAGAGACAGTAAAACTGGCATAGGATAGAGCAGGTTTCAGGACTATTGTATGTAGGATAGCTTATGAGTTGCAAGCAACTCAATGGCACATAACAGCAACAATAACGTATACATAGTCAAGCTGCAGGAATTAAAATGTTCTTTCTTCCAGTTCTGAGGCAGAAGCAGTCTTGATCAAACAACCCAGCTCAGAGTGCTATGTGGTCATTCACTAGTTCCTTCCTTTTCCTTTCTGTGAAATTCACTTTGTGTTATATGTGGCTCAACTGTTTATAATGAGTGGAATAAAAATGAATGCAGATGCCTTACAATTCAGAAAAGTGAGTCGGCTTAGGGATTTATAATGAAATCAGCTTTGGTCTTTTCTTTGTAAGCATTTGTTTAAGAAATCCAAATGTTGGCCGAGACCTCTGTCAGTTCATGTATGTTGGTGCTTTAGGTAAATTCAACTCCAGGAAGATCCAAAAGTCAAATTAAAGGGTAAATGCTGACTCTTTAGATGTAGTTCTCACTATAATAACAGCTTGCATTTGGAGGTGGACTCCCATTCTCTCCCATTGATGGAGCCCTGGTGGGGTAGATGATTCAGAACTTGGCTGCTAAGTGAAAGGTTGACAGTTCCATCCCTTGTGGCTCCTCAGAAAAAAGGCTGGCATTCTGATCCCATAAAGATTACAGCCAAGAAAACACTATGGGATGGTTCTAATCCTAGTCACTGGTAGTCATAACTCAGGAGCACGCAACTATAGCAATGACTTCTCCCACTAGGTTTTCACTCTACCAAGCACCACCTGAGTGTGTTCCACATATTAATTCATCTAAATTCATAGCCATGTGAAACAGATTGCTGTATTCCAACTGGTCAGATGAGGAAACAGAAGTACAGAGGATTTGATAGATTGGATAGCCTATTTAATTGGATAGCCAACTTAAGGGAGAGTGCTGGTGGCCTAGTGGCAAGAAGCTGCGCTACAATCCCAAAGACATGTGGTTTGAATCCACCAGCTGCTCTGAGGAAAAAGATGGGCAATCTCCTCCTGTGCAATTGACTGTCTCCTGGCAGTCCATGGTATATTCAATACTCTTCTCCAGCCCCACCCCTTAAAAGCACCTAACAGCAATAATGGGTCATACTTGAGTGACTGCACTTACAACATAGCAACATAGACCTCAGGTAGCAGGGACAGGACCTGACTCTAGAGCCCTCAGGCTCTGAGGAGCCTTCTTCTGCTCTGAACCCTAGCAACCTGCCCAAAATATGTTAGATGGAGCCTCAACATCCTTGTATCTTTCCATGAGGGACCAGTCTTTGAAGAATAACATCATGCTTGGAAGGGCAGAGGGACAGTGCAAGAGAGGAAGACCCTGGAAGACTTGGATTGACACAGTAACTGGGGTAATCAGGGCAGGTGTGTCAGGCAGAGACATTGACTCAGGATAGAGCTTTGGTGCATAGGGTCACTATGAGTTGGAGTCAACTTGAGGGCACATACCAACAACAAGATGAAACAATGAAAACCATAGGGAAGTTACTGGTGTTTCCTGTGTTCCAATGCTAGCTATTTCCTAATTGTGCAGCCTGGCCAACTTATCAAAGGGGCTGTTGTGAGAATTAAGCAAATTAATGTACCCAAAATGCTTGGAATGGTAAGAGGCGCAGTGTGAACACTAGGAAGATATTAACAAAGAAAGGGGAAAGATCCAGCGTGAAAAACAATGTATATGAACTTTGTAAGTAAACCAGTTTAAAAAGAAAACTTTTATATATTAAAAAAAAATTGCAAACCAACAAGTATCTGAAAGGCATGACATCTTTTTTTTTTAATTTATTTTATGTTATGTTATTTGTGTGTGTGTACCGTCAAATTGGATCTCACTGGTCCAGGAGGAGATTGCCCCTCCTCCAGCAGATTTTCTGGTGGATTTGAACCGCGTACCTCTGGGATTGCAGTGCAAGATATGACATTTTGTGGCATATTATTGTCTTCATTTTAAAACCTGACAGTGTATACTCCCCTAATAGGGAAGTAGAGGGTCTGGGCCTTACAAAGTGAGCATGTTGTATGACATCTGCCTACCGTAACTGCAGTATAGGAATCTCATGGGAACTGAAATATACGAGTTTATAGGTAGAAACTATGAGCTTGAGACTGAGACTCAGCGGCACTTAATGACCAAAACAATAGGTAGAAAGTAGTAGAGAACACAATTGCTTTTACTCCCAGGAGCACATTACATGCTACATCTCTTCCCTTTCCATATCTTTAACCAGGTTTAACATTTCTACACCTGCTTTTCGAGGCTGCATGAATAATCTAAAGAAAACTACTGGTGTTGTCAGGTTGACTGACACTGTAGGAGTAACAAAAAAATGCTCGGAAGACTGGAAGGTAAGTGCAGATTTACCCTTGAAGAGGTTGCAGGATTCAGTACTTTGCAAACGTACGCTTCCCAACTGACACATTTTTAGTTTTCAAGAACATATGAGCTTCTGACCTTCTTCTGGTGGAACAATAAGTTGAATAAGACACAATCCTTCCATACTTGTTGTTGTTACGTGCCATTGAGCCACCTGCAGCCTGTCCTGTCCTGATTCAGTCTCACTGATTCCAACACACCTACTCCCATACACCCAGTTACTGTATCAGTCCATCTCATCTGGGGTCTTCCTCTCTTGTGCTGTCCTCCACTCTTCCGAGGATGATGTCCTTCTACAATGGCCTGTCCGTCCTGGCGACGTGCCCAAAGTGTGTGAGACAAAGTTTCAAAATCCTAATCTCCAAAGAGAAACTTGGTTTCACTCTCTCTAAAACTGACCTATTTGTTCACTGTCCATACATACTTACAAGATATAAAACCTCTTCCCATTTACACATGAACTTTTCAGGAATGTAGGGAAGCCAACTGCATACACAACTTTGAGATAATTGGTACATTCACATTCCGTCAAGCAAATTGTATTTCTACCTGAGATAAAATAAGTCACATTCCCCAGTTTAGATAAAGTGATAAATGATAGAATACAGTAGTGCAGTCATGAAATGATTACAATGTCAGTAATTTCCCCCCCTTTGTTTGTGTTTCAGCTTGTACGAACAGCCTCTTTCTCCAGAGGAGGAACTTTGGGTGTCACCAGTGCAGACATCCCATTCCCCAACAACTTCCAAGCCTCATTTGGGTTTAAGACCCTTCAGCCTAGTGGAATATTATTAAGCTCTCCAACCCAGGTATTAATGCTTCACTAATATTGAAAAATATTTAAACCAAACTGAAAGTCTTATGTCAGTATCAATATTCTTGAAAGATAAATTTTTGGGCATTTTATCTATCATCTCACCCTGAATGCTTTTGTATTTGTGTTTCAGTATAAGTCCTAAAAGAACCAGGCTTAGAAAGTATATTTTTAGTGTCTGCAGAATATAATAATAGAATAGAATATATCCATGTTAATTCTCTTTCAAAAAATAGGTTAACCGACACAGTGTGAAAGTAATATAATAATAGAATAGAATAGAATAAAATAGAATAGAATAGAATATAAAATATAATATCCTGTCAAGGATCTCTCCATAGAGTTAAAGTGCACCTGATCCAACCCATGTTCTTCTC